TAGATTATGTAGCATTTATTTTTTAAACTTTTAATAAATACTAAAAGTAACAAACGAAAAATATAGTTACCAAACTCGGATTAGTTAGCAAATTTAGTTTTTAAATTTAAGATGTACACCAAAAAATTCGTAAAAATTTTATTAAATAAATTTTAATAGCACGAATTTATATCTAAATCTAAACAAATTATAACTACCAACAATATTTTCAAAAGATTTTATGGAAACTGAATAACAGAAAATATTTGATGCGTGATTAAGGTAAATAAAAACGATCTATTTCTATTTTTTGATTAGTGAATACTTTTATCATACGTGAATAACAACATTTTCTGTATAAATTTTATTTATAACAATTATAAAATCTAAACAAAATCTCTTTAATATCTTTAAATCCGTTTGACCCGTTCACCCGTTAATATATATTAGTGACATGAAATTAAAATGATTATGATTAGAAATATCTAATGGCATATATTGTAATTTCTTACAAAATCAACGTTACGACTTATATGATGTACTTCCCAAATAATAGTATAGGATATATTTGACGTCGTTAATTATAAATTATATTATTTCTAAACTTATATAATTAATTTAGCTGAAATATTTTATGTGGTGTTATTTCTACTCGGCTTCATTACTAATATTTTATGTTATGATTAATGTAATGATGTAAATATACAAACTATTTCTTTTTTTCTGTCATCTGATTAACTTAGCAAAGGTAAATATAAAATTACAGATCGAGAGTCGAGACCATGCGCCAAAGGCCCAAAGATGTCGGAGATTAATCTCAATTGCTCCTCAGAGTCAAAGAATTAATCTACATACTCTCCTCTAATCCACATACTCTCCTCCTTTTAATGAAAGGACGAAACTACCACTTTACTAGGTATATGTGGTACAACTGGTACCTCTCTAGTTGTACCACCACCTAGTTGTTTCTCCTCCTACTTGTACCTCCTCCTACTTGTACCACCATCTAGTTGTATCTCCTCCTACTTGTACCACCTAGTTGTACTACAACGTAGATGTACCAGAATATTCCCGAATATTCCCTAGTTGTACCAGTTACAACCCGTATAAAAGGATTAGAACCCTGGGGGCGCGCGCGTGCGCATGGAGCTCGCAACCACTGAGCTATTGTGTTTTTCGTTGAACACTTACCGATTTAATTGTATTTAACCCTTATCACCTGAAATCAACCCTCATTAAGGGTAATTTTGTCTTTCTACCATTAAGGAGTATTTGAGACTAAATTTTGAATCTGAGGAGTATCTGAGAATTTGATCGAAAGATGTCCCTTCATTGATATGAATAAAGAAAAATACTTGGGTTCACCCCTAGGGGTGAATCTCTTATGTTTACCTTCTTTATTTCTTCCAATCAAAATCTGCCACTTATTAATAATAAAAATATTTATTTAATTAAAAAATTTAATTTGCCACTAAAACGAAATTATGTATATCGGTTTATGTTTATTACAAAGGGTTAGAGTTTAGATTTTATGATTAAACGAGTTTAACTATCGGTTTGAGTTTATAAACGGATTAAGATTTTACAATTAAACGAGGTTAAGTGTCGGTTTGGGTTTAGAAAGTACGATTAGGGTTTAGATTTTTTACGATTAAACGAGTTTAAATGACGGTTTGGGTTTACAAAGGAGAATTAGGGTTTAGATTTTATGATTAAACGAGTTTAACTATCGGTTGGGTTTATAAATGGGTTTAGATTTTACAATTAAACAAGGTTAAGTGTCGGTTTGGGTTTAGAAAGTACGATTAGGGTTTAGATTTTTTACGATTAAACGAGTTTAAATGACGGTTTGGGTTAACAAAAGAGAATTAGGGTTTAGATTTTGTAATTAAACGAGATTATATATCGGTTTGGGTTTATAAAAGAGTGGTTATGACTTAATCTTATTGTTTTAATTTTTTAATTAGATGACATGGCAAATTCTAATTGGATAATTAAGAGGGGGTGAATGAAAGTGGTTCACCCCTAGGAGTGAACCCAAGAATTGTTCATGAATAAATAGATTACAAAAATAAAATGTTTTCTCGAATATGAGAAAATATTTTGGCAAAAAAGAAAAAAGCATAAAAATATAGAATTTGTTTTGGCAGAAAAGGAAAAGTATTAAAATATGGAAATATATTGGCAAAGGATAATAAAACCATATATTCTCTAACAAACTTGGATCGAATTATATACCTATACCGGTATAAACTAGATGTTAACCCGCGGTACACCGCGGGCATATATATTATTTGAAATTTTTTGTTGAATTATTAATTTCAATATTTTAGTTGACATATATGTATTTTTTATTAATTTAAATGTATATATTGATGTAGAAGTTGTATATATCTATAAATGGTAGAATTAGTGAATTTCAATATCATTTTAGTAAAAAAAGAGTTATAAACAATTTTAAATATATCACTCACTTGTACTCAATATATTTTCATATTAATAATTTTATAAAATTACACACATAATATATTATATTTGATTTCATTTGAATATATTGAGTTTTGGCCTAATAAAATTTATAGTATTTATGAATTTATATTTAGTGCAAAGGAAATATAAGTGTTAAATGGTGTATTGTTAGAAGATAAAGTGTTTTGTATTTATTTGATGACATTAGTACTAATTGGTAAGATTATAAGTTTAAATAATTCTAATTGGTAAGATTATAATTTTAAGAGTAATGAAAAACGAATTGATTTGCTCATTAATTTTTGGATTGAATCTTACCACAAAAACAAAAAATATGATTGAAGAAAAATATCCAAAAGTGGAGCAGAGAAAAATAAAGCATAAAACCATCAACATAAGCATTAAGCAGGTCTTTTGATAAAGACTAATTTTGACTATTAGAATCTCTACGTCATTCAACCTCATTGATCAACAAAAAATCATCAGCAGAAGATTTGGCCTCCTCCTTGTCCAATTTAACTTTGAGATCCAACACAATCATCTCAAGGTTCTTGAAGCATTCCTCGAGTTGTTGGACCCGAGACATCAAGCATCGTCTGATTTCTTCCTCTCCAAGGACACCTCCTCAAGATTTGTCTTCAAACAATCCAGCTTGAAGTCCAATCTCATCAGCTCAATATTCTTAACACGTTCATCGAGTTGTAGGACATCAACATCTAATTTCTTCCTCTTTAAGGAAACCTCATCAAGCTTTAACTTCAACCATTCCAGCTTGAAGCCTTGTTCAATCACCTCGCCGTGAGCATTGCTTAGCTCAGTCTCTGAGTGATCATGTGAAGGCTTGTTACGTGTGCTCTGTGAATATCTTTCTCGCTGAAGTAACTTGCCAAGGAAAAATATGTTTAGGTTACTCAAGAAAGGAATCTGAATAAGCAACCACAAAAGGCACAAAACCAAAAGATCAGATCTTTCATCTGTTTCTTTTTTTTTCAGAGAAAAATCTCTCAAAAAAAATGCATCAGTAGGATGTAACACACGCCAAAGAACAAAGCATCCATAAAGCAAATATACCTTCTTTGGTGGTAGATAAGCCTCAAGATAAATTCCATCAATTATTGGAACTTGGCTAAGCATTCATCAAACAGAATTTGGATGATCATAGTCAAGCTTGTTTGTTGATCTAGCAACAACAAAATATAGAGAAGGAATAAGTTTTGTTCACAAAGCGTTTAACATAAAAGAACCATTGTAAGAAGCAGAGTACACGAACCTTGGAGACTTGTAGATACCAGAACGGAATTCATCACGACCAAGAGCAACCTGCATCACTTTGTTCGTATTGAGGATATCTCGGGATATCGTATATAGATATTACCAAATCTATTTTGTATAGTTTCCTTTATTCTCTAGGGTTTACAATGTCGTAAAGTTGTATATAAACAAGACCTTATGGTCCATGAAATACAAGTTGAATCTTCTTCTACTCTTGAATTTTACATGGTATCAGAGCAAGAAAAATCTTAAAATCGCTCTCGCGAAACAATTCTTTTTGCCTCTCGGCTTTTATCTCCTCTTTGCCTCTCGGTTTTTTTTTCCTTCTTTTTGCCTCTCGGCTCTTCTCTTCTCATTGCCTCTCGGCTTTTCTCTCGGATCTTCTCTGTTTTTCTTGCCTTTCGGCTCCTTTTTCACTATTACTCTGTTTTCGACTCCAAAAACAGAGCATCCTCCATGGCTTTAACGACTACCAACCCGAAGCATAAGACTATCTCTCCCTACGATTTAACCTCAAACGACAATCCGGGGGCTGTGATTTCTCAACCACTTCTCACCGGTTTGAACTATGACGAGTGGGCACTTAATTTTCGTATGGCTCTTAGCTCTCGCAAAAAGTTTGGCTTTTCTCGACGGCAGCATATCAAAGCCGGCTGCAAA